AGTAGGGGGTGGGGGAAGGGCAAGGAGATGTGATTTTCACTGCCCCACCCCTACCCCTCTCCTTATTTTTGACTGTCAACTGCCCCCTTGGTACAAATTTCTTTCTCTCACCAGCCTTCCACTGCCATTAAAATCAAAGATGGCAGCCATAATTTTGGTTAAGAAAATACTGAGCACTCTCTCATCAAAATTACGCCTGCTCTGCAGGCTACAAATCTCGTCCATGTGTAATTTTTTCCTTTTTCTTTGCCTCATATTTGACTTGCATTTGTCAGATTAGTTCTTCTGTTGGACAAGGAGACTCTTCGTTTATTAGCTGATAATCCAAGGGTATGTGATGTGAATTTTTTTCCTTTTTTTACTAATACTTTTGGAATGATAAACCACTCGATTAAGTGTCTTGTGCGTTTGAATCCAAATGAAATCAAGCATCTAGGAAAAAACAGAAATGGATAAAAGGTACCATTCAGTATTGAACACGTGTGGTTAATTTTAAGACAAAGCCTGCCAGGACTGTGCTGTAGCAGTAAATAGGTGCCATAGGCCATTAACCTTGGTCACTTTGCTTTTGTAAAAGCTTTTAATCAGTGGACATCCCAGATTTGTCAGACTTGAACCTACATACACTCAGTAATTCTTCCAATACAGGCTGTAGCACAGCTTTGCAATTAGCTGTTCCCACTTATTGTATAAATGGATATTATTTATATAATTAAGTGGATTTGAATTCAAATTTCTGAAGAGGAGAACCAACAGTTTATTTATGGGAGAAAGTCTTTTCACCTTTTCACCCACAAGATCTCATTAGTAATTCTCCTTACTGACTATGCTGTACAATTCATCTGATGTTAGGAGAATTTTGTATTGGATCAACTGATAATCCCTCAATTGATATTTGTCTATATTCTCATCACCTGTCTGCTTGATATTGTATTGATATTGTTAGGAGAAATTCTGTCTTGGTCAATCATGGGAGGGTTAAATTAATTATGGTTATTTTTCTTTCCTACTTACAAGAGATACATGGCAAGAGACAAGCCTTCATTCCTTTTTTTTTTTTTTTTTTTCTCAGATTGCAGATTTTTCACCAGGTCTCAAAGAGACATTTCTTCAGCAGTACAAAACCTACTCTGTCAAAAAGGTAGGAATTACCTTGTTTAATCAGAAGCTTTTATTATTTTTTTTTTTGAGATGATTAATGCAATATGAATAATTGAAGATTTAACAGGTTTGCTAATGATGATTATGGTAATAATAACAATAACATTGATAGCACTAATAACGATATTTGGAAGGAAATGAAGGTCTTAAAAATTAGGCAAAAGGCAAAAATTAGTATCAACATCTTAACCTTGATGCAAGGGTAACCAGGATATTTTAAGCTGCAAGATGAATTACTATGCAGTAAGTTATGTTTTATCATCGCAAGCCTCTTTTTTAGGTGACAGAGATGAACTTTGTCAAATCTCCCCTTGGTGGAGTACCATTTAGTGTTGAACGAGACAATAAACAGAATTTTCCAACTGACAGAGCTTTCCACAACTTCAGAAAACAAAGGTAAACAAGTGCGTAGTAGACGAGCTGACGTTATAATAATACAGGCAAACCTGTATTGAGCGGTCTCCCACGGGGAATGGGCTGGGCAGGGTAGGGCGCTTAATACACGTTCCAAAGAGTAGGAGTAAAATAAGAAGCGTTAGAAAACGCCATTGTATGCCATCATTGACCTTACACTGTTCAAAAACTCGCTTCTAAAAATACTACTTACTTTGATTTTGGGAGATAAACATGGATTAAATTTTACTTGAAAGATTGTTCGTAGTTTTCTCTAAGTATTTCCACTTTAAATGACCGCTCAGTACAGCTGGAAAACAATACAAGCAGGCTGTTGGGATTCACTCAAGGTGACCGCTTATTAAAGGTGACCGCTTGACAGAGGTGAAAATTGCAGTGATTTAGGGGAAACAAATTCAGGACTTTGACAACCGACCGCTTAATAAACGGTGACCTCTTGATACGGTGCCGCTTAAGACAGGTTCGACTGTATGATATTCAAGCGTTTAAACACCTTAAATATCAGTGAAGAAATATATAGCATTTCCTAAGAGTTATGAGATATTTGAGAGTTCTAAGCGTGTTTCCTTGATACTCCAAGGGAGGAGCTACTTTCGTTTAGTACAGCGTTACTCCCTAATTGTAACCAAGTAGCCTATTTTCCATGTATTTGTGGTCAAGTAGAACCATATACGTTGGGCAGTTCTCCACAAAAGCTACTTCATTGGGTGTCAGCGGAAGATCAACTCATTCACTCTTACTCAAGCCTCTATGTAACCGTCACCGCTTCCCCCTTCCCGCCCCAACTCCTTCCCCTCCCCTCCCCCCCCTTCAACGGCAACAGCCTGCCGAATAACGACCAAGTTTCCCGGAAGCAAATGAATTGTCTAGGATACAAGCTAACTGATTGCTTTGATTAAAAAAGGACGCGACAGCATACTTAAGCGGAGAGCTCTGACAGCACACTCTCGCTAACGCCAAGAAGAAGATAAGATGCGATACTAAAAGCAAAAGCACATTTTTAATCTGAGCACTGAGTTACAGTTTCTGTTATACTGTTGTATTTGTTTGTGTTACGCATTAGTATGTTTACAAAATGTAGTTCTTCTTTTTTTCTTCTCTGAAAATGTTTTATAACACCTCTTTTTTGCCATAACGGCCACATCTTTACAGAGGTAGCTTGATAGCACTTGCCCCCCTCGTCTCATAAGAAATCGGAAGTGGTGACGCCCATCTCTCTCTCTCTCTCTTTTTTTTTTTTTAAGGGAAATGAGGGGAGGGGGCTCTATACAACCTATATTAAAGTCACTTTCTCTCTCTGTGTGTGTCTCTCAAAGTATATATAGAACTTCGGAAGAGGTTCTCACTTCGTTCGTGTCAGATCTGGAACACTCAAAAGGAGTCACAAAAGTTTTTGGCGCGTAGTATGCAAACTCAGCTTAGCGCCTGCGGAAACAATGAACATGGGACGTTCACAGAAAAGGAGAAGTAATACACCAACGTTTGCCATTTCTTCAAGCAAACGAAAGGTGACCTTCGTCAGATTTTTACTGATAGAAGTAATTGCTCCATACTTCCTAGCCCCAATGAATTGAAAAACGTTCTGTCGATATGTGCTTTCGATTCTTTACGGAGAAATGAAGTCACGTACAGTTTTCCAAATAGATGAAATGTCTATCTCACACGTTCGGAGAAACGATTGTCTCCCGACTGTTCCGAATTCGCCTCCCGATGTTACCGATATGTCTGTGACCAACTCACGACGATCGAAGCCGTCTTCGGTGTTTTTGAGTTCATAAAATCTAGTTGGCCGGGAAACAATAAAATCCTCGATTGTCTGGCAGACCAGCTTATTGATAAGAAGATATTAGCTTCTACACTTTTTTCAAGTTGTTAAAGGTTAATTTTCTGCTGATGAAGATGCAAGCACCAAGTTTTATTTCAATTGCATTGAAATGACCAGTACTAGAACTCTATTACGATCTTTTGGAAGCTTAATGTAAGTATGATTGCGTTCCCTCTAACAAAATTTAGAGGTAGAATTCTGTGTTCAAATATTGGTGAAAAACTTGTTTTAAATGTCCTACGTTTTTGTCTATGTAAAATGTCACGGAGATGACAGAGATGTTTTGAAGTAATGAAAAAAGATAACAATACTGCAGCGAATCCAGCACACTCAGGGAGCCCCATTTTTTTGCAAGAATAAAAATAAATTAAACAAAAAATAATTTAACAAAAAAATTTTCCTTCACGCATTTTTCTTTAGCCCTCCCACTAGCAAACTTGCTGCGCGGTCCCTGACACTGAGCCCGTTTAACGAGGGAATCACTATTTGATTTAAGAGAGAGCTTCCGGCCAGAATATAAGGCGTCGTATTATTATTTACGTGCGCTGCCCACGCGTGAAAATTATGCTCAGTCTATATCAAGAGAATAACCTTAACTTTAAGAATCAGTTTGATTAATTCTGTTTTGTGCCGTAGACAAAATAATAAGCTTTGTTTATGATTCTAGACTTTTGCTCCACATCACGTGACTATTGCACAGCTGTGTGTGACATCCTGGCGCAAGGCATAATAATTAGCAAAAAAACGACAATATCATCGCCAGAGTTGGGCGATGATTTCTCGTCGCAACCTTCAAAGAAACTTATCTCGTCGAAGGACGCTTTAACTTAAAAAAGGTAAGCCGCAAAGTTTCGATCGATTTTATTGCAAATGCAGTTTGTCGTGGAAATAGTCGAGATTTCGTTTGAAGCAGATAAAATTTAATCGCTAGAGCTAAAATATCAATCACTAGTGATGGAACTCAATCGTTAGTGCTAGCAACAACTCGTAATTGTAAATCAATTTAGTTTTCCAAAATGCTCAATTGTTAGTGCTGAACCTCAGTCGCTTGTGTCGTTGGAGCAGAATCATAAATCGCTGGTGTTCTGAGGCAGATCGATAGCGCTATCAATCATAGGTTCAAGTGTCGATCGACTGTGTTCAACCTTTATGGCTTGTGTTATTTGTAAAAGATAAATTTTTACTGTAATGTTGTTTGTGGGATTTTGCCATTTGAAAACAGAAATTGTAGGGAATCTCAAGATAATTTTATGGTTTCACTTAATAATTAAATAATCACATTAGTGATGAAAAATCTCAAGTCTCTCGTTCAATTGTTTCAAAATGTCGCTTGTAGTGTACTACTCTCGGTCCCGAAGTCCAGTATTTTTGCGAAACTTCCAAATGCTCAGAGTTGCCGTAATCTGTAAAAGACTACGGCGTTAAAACGCAGCTGAGTGGCAAGAATCTCGGAGAATTGCGGATTTTCCACCCTCTATACCTAGGGGAGGCAGCGAACATTTCTTAGAAAATCAAAGTCGTTATTTTTCTCTTTAGAACGTGACGAAGCAGATCCTCTTGAACTATTCAGTATAATGTTACGATTCTTTTTCACAGCACGATCTTCATCAGGCTGATTAAAAAATGCCATCACTTCAAATCCTGTGCCTGCTGTCAATTTTGGCAACAAGTGCAACTTTAACTTCTTCCACTGGATCAGAGTTTGTTGCTGCAGTATATGAGCATGCCTTTGTCAGGGCCCAAAATAGAACAAACGTCCTCTCCCAGCAAGAAGCTGTGGCAATCGTCATGCAGAACATGGATGTGTACGCGACCCAGATGAAAAAAGCTAAACAGCAGGTACTGGTTATTTAATTTTTTTGACTCAGGCTTGTAGGTAACTATTTGAAGTGAACGTTGATTGGCCTTTAAAAGTTTGAAGTTAGTTCAACTTACATGTACTTAACCCATGAGTGGTGAAGAAAGAAGTTCTCCTTACAAGTACATATTAAAAAAAAGTATCAGGCAAACAAGTGATCAGAATAAAGTAAAATATTCAGTCACACCTGTATTTGGTGGTCACCCACAGGAATGGAGGGGTCACTACTGAATACAGCATGACCACCTAAAGAAGCTCTTTTTTTTTCCAATGTATAAAGAAGAGTTTGGAGAATTTGCCTACTGATTTTGAGGTGAAAATTGTTTTAAACATGATCTTCATTTGACTTTTTTGCAGAATGCAAGTATTATTGTCTTTCCTGAATATGGCCTAACAGGCTTTGGCTACACTCGTGATTCATTTCAGCCATTTTTAGAAGACATCCCAGATCCAAAGAAGACCAGTTGGAATGCTTGTGAAGATCCACAAGCAAACAGCTCCAGTCCTATTCTATACCGCCTCAGTTGTCTGGCAAAAACCTATGATATGTACCTTGTAGTAAATATGGGAGATGTTAAGCCATGCAATAAAAGCACTGATGAAAATTGCCCCAGTGATGGAAGATACCAATATAATACTAATGTAGTATTTGATGACAAAGGCAAACTTGTGGCCAGATATCATAAGCAGCATCCTTTTTTGAATGAAATGAAAGTGGTTAATCGTCCTCTTACACCTGAGTTCATTACCTTTGACACACCCTTTGGTAAATTTGGAACATTTGTCTGTTTTGATGCGCTCTTTCACGATCCAGCAATACCACTGGTGACCAAACACAAAGTTGACCATATTGTCTTTCCTACAGCATGGTTTGATGTGGTGCCTCTTTTTGCAGCCATTGGATTCCATGGGTCATGGGCCCGGGGAATGCAGGTCAACTTTCTCTCTGCAAACTCGCACGTACCAGAGGTATTAAACACTGGGAGTGGACTCTACAGCCCCACTGGTGCTAAAAAGTACTATAGAAGCTTGTCTGCCAATGGTTCCTTATCTGTTGCCAACTTGCCCAAATCACCAAGGGACAGACCTTCAGGTACTCCAGTGGTGAATGCTACAAAGATACAAGAAGGCAATGCTGGTCAAGACTCATTCTACTCGGACTTGTTCGGCGATCTCTTTCTTTTCAAAGAGCTGAAGAAACCTGAAGGCACCTTGGATGTGTGTTACAATGGCAGTAGCATTTGTTGTTCCCTTACCTATGAGATGGTGGAGAAACGTTCTGATGAAATGTATGCGTTAGGTGTCTTTGATGGACTTCACATCCTAGAGGGACAATATTATTTACAAATATGCACTCTTATCAAGTGTCTGGGATTGAACCATAATTCTTGTGGGCAGAGAGTATACAATGCAAGTACCATTTTCAAGTCCTTCACACTGCATGGTTCACTTGGTACACAGTATATCTATCCACAGGTGTTAGCAGATGGTGTATCACTTCTGCCAGGAGAATGGGACCACGGTGTACCTGTGACGCATTTGCAGACCAAGCAGCAGCTGACAAAAGGGTTGTTGACTGCGGCCCTTTTTGGACGCGTGTATGAATTGGATGATGGCCCCAGACCAACCACACATCCTAGTGTGGAATCATCTGCACCACAGATCTGCATCCATGTTTTTTTTGTTGGCCTGTTGTCAGTGATTGCATATTTTTGTGTTGAGAAGGAATAAAAGTTGTAATAATTATTAACATGTGACCTCCCCCTGAAATTCTGGACCCAGCAGGATAATGATTATGCATTATTGATATAATAATCCTCAGACTACTTCCCCAAACAGGCCATGGAAATTAAGTGGAAATGAGAAGGCAATTGAAGTAAACCCTTTAACTGCCATTTGTGATCAAGGCAAAATTTCTCCTAACAATATCAATACAATATAAAGCAGAATAAAGAATCACATTTAATAACCACATATGTGCTGTACAAAAAAGTTAAAATGCTTCAAGCTGTGTTTGAGAAATACAATAAACAAATGAAATATTTATTTAATGTATTCCACATTTTTATTCATTCATGGTTATCTGATGTTGGAAGGGCCAGTCTCAAATCTCTCTGAACAGGTACCAAATTTTGAAAACGAATTGGTAAAACACCTCCCCTGTGTAACGACACAACTGCTTCTGGCCTTTTTTCAGAAGCTTTTGGTACAGTGATTTTTAATGGAGAATTTTGGATGCTTACTGTGTAAGTTTTATTTTACTCAATTAACAGCAGTATGCATAGCAGATACTGATAAACTGCTTTACTTGGTAGAATCTCAACAGAAATAGAAGCTTAGAGGGGTAGAACTATTCAGCTTTTATTGGTGAAGTTTGACATAGCTAAAAACTGCATTGAAATGTAGTTAATAATGAATCTTAACTTATTGCATACATTAATATCCTGCCAACATTCAGTAGTCCTTGACACTGTAACATCAGCATCCCTTTTCTCCCTACCCTCTGCTATACATTTGTTTGGGTACTTGATAAGGAGAATTCATTTAACAGTTGAAGCTTCTTAGTTTGGTGATCATTTTTCTTTTTCTTGTGATCTTAATGAATGATCCAGCAGTATTACTGCATGAAGAAATTAAATAGTGGCAACTTTTAGGGTTTAAAGGGTTATCTGCTTCCCACTGCTCCTGGTCAATGAGCATTTGCTGTCCTGTGAGTTTGCCTCCTGCACAGGCAAACCAGATCCTTTAATTCAATTAACACCACTAAGAGGAAACAGAATCTTCTAATTTCTCCTTATAATAATACTGCATAACCATTTATTGAGATGTACAATGTTATGAAAAATATTCAATTAAATGCAAATAATTCATATTTTTTTCAGTTTCAAGTAAATTTGAGGAGAATTTACACAAATTAAAATCAATTAAACTTAAGTATGTCAATTGCTCTACATTCAGGGATGTATTTTATGAGCTTGTGCGAGAATGGGAAGATTCACATTTGGCAGCAGGATGGAACATGGAGGAACACATGGGAGACAGGATAAGGTACAGGCCAAGGAGAGTGTTTACCCTTTACACCCTTATGTTGGTATGCATATTCTCCATACTGTTCTCTATACATTTCCCATGGTACTGACAAGGAGAATTTGTTTGACAATCAAGAGCTTCTTCAGTTGGTGATCATTTTCCTTATTCTTGTGACCTCAACGTGTGATTAAGGAGTGATACGCTATGGAGAAATTAGATGCTTATCACTCTGGGTAAAAGGGTTAAGCATCACCAGATATAATAGTTAATTTAATGGCTGGCCTTGAGAATTTATTGTAACCCCCAAACACCCTGACCTTTTTGTATCAAAGGTGTATAGTGAAATAAAAATTTAATCACCCTGGACAGCTAGGATTCAACAATTTGGTGAACACCGGTGTTAATCAAACAATGACCCCTTTCACTCCTATAAGATCTCATTAGTAATTCTCCTTACTGTCTGCCATACAATTCTTGTTCATTTGGGGAATTTTGTAAGGAGAAGTTCTGTTTTGATCACTCATGTGAGTTAAAGGGTTAAATCCCTGGCAACTGGAATTTCAAAAGAGATGTTGATACTTAACAAAATTGTATTTTCTATTTACTTGTCCCACTTATGTACAGATAACGAAAGAGCCCTTCTGTCAGTGAATACTAAATTTGAGAGCTTTTTCAATCTTTAAATCCATCTTGCAGGGCTTTGGTGAATCAGAAGCCAGAATTGGCAAACTATTCCCATTTCGCCAGGCTGTTTAAGTCCCAATTACTACAGGTAATCAAAATATAAAATCAGATTCACAGCTTTAATAGGCACATCTTCTGGCTTTTGTGCCGATATTTCTTCTTTCCATTTCCTCCATGGCACTGTACACTACCCATTACTATTTATCTTTTACACTGTGACATCAGTATGTATATTCTCCATACTGTTCTCTATACATTTCCTGAGGTGCTGACAAGGAGAATTTGTTAAACAAGCTGTTGATCATTTCCTTTATTCTTTTGACATTGATGTTTGATTCAGGGGTTATATTGTAAGGAGAATTAGATGCTAGTAGCTTTTAGAGGTTAAAGAGTTGATTAAAGGAGTTTTATTCTTGTTTTTTATATTCATAGATGTGTGAGGAGGAGAGAAGTGGAAGTGATTTTCGTTCATCAAATATGCTTAGCAGTTTGCAAAAGTCAAATCCAGAAAAATTTCAGAGGTAATTGAAATTTTTATCAGTTTCAGTTTAAGTGATGAAACTTTTTTCTTCTTGAAAGTGATGAGGAAGATAGAAAAAAAGCCATTATTTGATCCCAACCTTTTTCTTCTACTCAAAGATGCATTTTGCCATGTACTAGCAACCTTAAGCTGTTACATGTATTCTCCATGTCATCAGTGTAAGACGTTTCCCAAATACTTTTTTCTTGGGTTCCACTTTTTAATTTTTACAAAAAGGTTGAAGAAAAGAGTATTGAAAAACTCATCCAACCAATTTATTGATATCATTCTGCCATGTTTGTGCTACCAGGCTTCAAGAGAGATTTATCACTCCTTTATCATCTGGAGGCCCATGTCCTGCCCCCAGTTTTAGTCATGTGCAAGAATTCTTCAAAGGGTTCATACAATCTGCAGCTAGGTACAGTATATAACACAAGAAATCTTATGTCTCATTTAACCCATTGCAGTCTAACATCAGTATGTATATTCTTCATACATTTTTAAGGTACTGATAAGGAGAATTCAACAATCAAGAGCTTTTTTAGGTGGTGATCATTTCCTTTATTCTCATGACCTTAATGCATGATTCACGGGTGATATTATAGGGAGAAATTAGATGCTAGTCACTGTAAACCCTTTAATCCCTGAGTGTGACTAGTATCTAATTTCTCCTTTCAATATCACCCCTTAATCAAACATTAAGGTCATGAGAATGAAGGAAATGATCACCAACTAAAGAACCTCTTGATTGTTAAACAAGTTCTCCTTGCCAGCACATTAGGAAATGTATAGAGGACGGTACAGAGAATATGCATACTGATGTTAGGGTGTAAAGGGTTAGGGGTCAAAGGTTTAATTATTTCTTTTCTGACTGATTTGCCCTCTTCTAATATTTGATTCTTCCATGCTGAATTTTATATGACGGTGTGAAACAAATTATTTCATTTTCAGCTTAAATTCTACCTCAGTTTATTGATTTTGTTGCAGTCATTCATTCAATCAGCATCTAATGGACTTACTGATTGTGAAAATAACTGAGGTATGTTTTTTTTTTGATGGGTTAACTTTAAATGTTGACTTGAATTGTTTTTTGCATCTTTCCAGTTTATTTATGTTGAAGAGCCAATCATCAGAAGACTGTATACCATAATAATAGTACATTAGAATGATTGCCAGTCATTAAATCTTAAAAAGTGTTGTGTTTTTCTTGCAGATCAACAATAAAGAATTTCCCTTGTCAGATATTGAAGAAGGAAGTGACAAAGACTTATCAATTCAAAATCAGGTTTGTTACATCCTTTGTTTGATTTTATTATTTTTAAAGCAGATGATCTCTTTTTTATTACTAGAGATGGCATCATCCAGGGGTGGATCCAGTATTTTTCTGAGATGGAGATCCACCCCTAAGGAATGACATAACTGATAGGTGACCCAAATAAATTTCAAAACTGATGATGAAAAAGAAGGCTTATGACAAGGCATTTAATTTTAACAGAATGTGTACAGATGAGAATACATAGCAAATGATACAGCAGATTTTGCATAACTTTGAAGTTATCTTAGAAAGCTGCAGGTCATTAAAGGGGGGGTGGGGGGAATTAGTATGCCCTTTCCATCTTACAAATTTTGTTCCTTTCCATCTTACAAATTTTGCAAGGGCTACAATTTAAAATTCACTTTTCTTTAAGTAGGAGCTTTCCTCTATGCTTTGCAAACACGTATTTACTTTGATTTTTCCTTTTCTAGGAAGTAAAACAGGATTTTTCCTGCTGTTTACTGAAAATAAGAATTTTGGCAAAGTTCCTTGGGTTTTTGATTTTCCAGCCTTATCATGGCACAGAAACTTCATCACAAACAATTGTGACTGAAACTCTTAAATTAAGGAATAGGGTAAGTCAGCCTATCAAATTTGGAGTTTTGAGAGGTGATATCAAGCTTAGTTGTTCAAAAGGCAGATAACACTATACAAGGGATAGATTGCTATTCAGCAGATAAGTGTCAGCAAAACCTTGGTGCACTATCCACCAATGGAGATCTATTCTGTGGATAGTGCTATCCAACCTTTGGACAACTAGGGCCAGTTCTGGAATATTACTGCGCAAGTTGACATTTAAGCCAGGAATTTCATTTTGATCAAACATTTCTAGTTACTCTGATCCACAAATTGATGGTGCTTCTCTCAACAACAGAAATTTTTAAATTCAAGGCTCTTGAAATGAATGTATTTACTGTTTGTTCCTATTTATTTCTTTTCAGATTCCCATTCACTTTGACATTCTCAGTTACCTCAAGAAGGCCTGGTGCAGTGGGAGACTGGTGCTTACAGTACCATGGGCTGTAGAGTACCTCAGTATGATGGACCCTGTGGCTCCTCTTCTAGACTACTTCTCTGTGGTCCTCAATTTTCTCTACAGGATTTACAGGTTTCTGCACAGTGGTTTACTTACTAAAGAGATAAATGCTCGAATTGAAAAGACAAGAAAAACATTTTATTTGTAGTCTGTATTGCTTGTTTTAAAAACTCTGGCTAGTGGGAGTTAACTCTTTTGAGTGACTGCCATCAAATTCTCTGTACAATATCATCCTGAATCAAATATTAATGTCACAAGGATTGAGAAAATGATCACCAACTGAGCTCTAGAGTGGGGAAAGATGTTTTTCGTCTTTTCACACGCGTGGGACAAAGAAAAAATTCTGAGTCCTCAAGAGTAGTTGAACCTCACAGCTTGGGATTTGCGCTCCAATGTTCTAGCACTGAGCCACAGAGACTCTACAGCGAGCGAGTAGATTAGCTCTAGATTGATAAACAAATTCTCCTTGTCAGCACCTTTGGAAATATATGGAGAACAGTATGGAGATTACGCATACTGATGTTAGGGTGTAAAGGGTGAAGTTTGCACACAATTTCATTTTTGGTTTTCTGTTTTGCTTGCCTTGTCAGCGAATAATATGTAAAGAAAAATAAGTCAGAGAGAGCCTGTTATAGTTTATCTGTATGTGTGACTG